TTTGCCATCGGGATTGGGTTTTCGTCGCCTGGCAACGACGTTGTAAAACAAGCCCGTGCCCCCGGTGTTTGCCATCGGGATTGGGTTTTCGTCGCTTGGCAACGACGTTGTAAAACAAGCCAATTCACTTCGTGAACTCGGCAACCAGGTTACCGTTTTTTTTTTTTTCCTCCGTTTATTTTTTTTGGGCGGTAACCATAATGATGGTTGAGTAGATCATGTTGTGCGGGGTGAACCCTCACTCCGCGCAAGGGGGATGATCGCACCACGTTGTGTTAAAATGGTCAAGCACCCTCGAGGCAGTTACACAGAGCTTACAACTGTCTCTGGAAGTGAAGCACCAGAAAATATGTTTAATTCATACGCAGCTGTCATCCGTACGCAAGGAAGTAAGCACAAGATGCCGAACACCCTTAGCAGGATGCAGCGCACCCTTCATGCGACTCGCCGAATATCTCACGGCGCTTCGCGCTTGGTGATGTGAGAGCCTGGTCCGGTGAGAACCCGGCGTGCTCCGTCCCGGCTTTGTAGGGATGCGAGGTCAATGGTCTAACGACTACGGCATGCACGACTATGAGTACACTCCTCTTCAAGACTACCGTTACGCTTCATCCGATAAGACACAGAAGTGATTCTTGCTATGGACTACATGTCCATGAATTGCATGGAACAATACAATGGCCATTTCCATCCACGGAGTTATCACCGACGTTTAGCAAAGGGCTTGCAAATTCAATTTCAAGGGGTTGTGTTGTTAATGTTTCCCTCACCGTCGATGTTGCTTACCGTGGCACACAAATTCTTCTCCACAATCATTACCATCACCCTTGTTTCATTGCCGTTCTTCCTCTCTCGATAATATTCTCCCCCTCGTCTACAACGCCTCAATAACCGTTGCATCAACTTGCTGACAATCTCCTGAAACCTCTTCGACGTCATGCGCCCATGCCACTGCCGATTCGCGCGTGCGCCACAAACAGCTATACCCCCCGTCGCCACGGCCACCGTCACGCCACTCCACGCCGGCTAGAACTACCGCCACCAACACGATGAACCCATCGCAAGCGGACCCCGAAACCCGGCGGCAACGCCACCAACAGCAGGAGCAGCAGCAGCTGCAAGCCCGCTGGCGAGAGGACGACTTGGCCGACCCCGAACCCCTGGACTACGTGAGGAAGGCGTGCTCGAGATGGAGGGCCAACGTCGCCGACGAACTCAGAGCCCTGGCCGCGGAGAGGGGGGGAAGATTTGCGAGGCCGAGAGCTGGCGGTAGTCCGGCGGCGGCGGGGGTCGGGGATGGCGAGGGCAGCCGGGGGGGTCCCGGGGCTGGGGGCGGGAGCGGTGGCGGTGAGAGTGGAGCGCTTGCGGTTTTGAGAGTTTTTTTTGAAGCAGCAGATTGGCTCCCACTGGATCGCAGTATTTTGGTGCCACCCGAGGTGTGTCCGTTGAGTCGTTTCGTTCGGGTAGGATACCGATGGAGGTGTTGGAGAAGGAGAATAGGTCCTGAACTGTCCGTGTCGACCCCTCGGAAATTGACGAGATCGTTACCGAGAGAGCATCCTGTCTTTCGCCTCTTCCCTACGTTCCCGCCTGCATGTGAGCGCGGGTTGCTCTGCGCTGTAGGTCAAGGAAACGATCACAGAACGAGTAGCAACAACGTCGAGGCCCTCCACTCTTCAAAACGAAGCAATAACAAAAAACCAAATCACCACCACCACAACGCATTCCTCACCTTCAAAAATGGCACCGATGCTTTCATGCAGGCGGTGGAGCAGACAGCAACAACAGAGGCCGGAGAGATAGCGGCGCATCGAACGCCGCCGCCGCTGCAAACGCGGGGACGGGCGGCTTCCTGTTCGACTCAGCCGACCTCCTCGACGCAGTGAGCGCCATCCGCTCCCCGAACCGTTCCGACTTTTTGCCCGTGGAGGAGGAATGGGGAATGGTGCATGTGAGAGGAAAACACGGTAGTTTTTACGCTTCTGGAATGCATAGATACAACAGGTTTCTTCGTTTTTTTTTGCTCTGAGGGACACATATGCCATGTAGGCAAGAGGGAGGGGGCGAGAGAGAGCAAGGGAGGGAGAGAAAGAGGGGTATCACACGATACATGTGGTATACGCGATAGCTCTGTTCCGTTTCCCCGTACGGGGCGTGTGCACGGCCCGCGTCACAATCATTCTCATCGTCCGTCCTGCCTTTGCTGCTGCGTGCGCGCGCCTAGCGAGTTTGTGTTTTCGTCTCTTTTAATCGTTTCTTCCTGTGCCAGATCGATGCATTCAATGCTCGGTCCCTTGTTTTTTTTTTGTGACATGTGCCCGCTCGGTGCTCTGCTGTGAGACGGTGCTCCGAAATCGTTGGGACCCTTTGTCCCCTTCTGTCGAAGCGTTGAGCCGGGTTGCACGCTTGCGTTTGGTGTGGACCCACGCGCAGTTGCAACTGCGGGTCAAGTCTTTGGAAGAGCTCCGGGAATCATACCGAGAACTGTCGCCGGAGTTGCGCCAGACCGGTCTGGATGACCGAGGGGGCTTCGGCGAGGATAGGTATTTGTTAGCATGGGAGGCTTGTCGCGGCTCACAAACCTCGCGTGCCGTTATTTGTATTGTCTGGGGAGTTTCGATGGGTTGCTTGAGAAAGTACATTATGTTGTGTGATCGTCCGCTTCTTTTCGATATCGCCAATAAATTGAATTCATGTCTGTTCACAGTTTAGGAAGACTTAGTAGTGTTTCTTCTTCGAGGACGTGTACCCCAGCAAACGTCGAGATGGCGTGCTGTCCCATCGGAATTTCGAGCATCACTCGAGTCGAACGGCACGCGGCCTTTACTACAGCACGGGGCCCAGCAGGAGACCTGCGTGAACGAGACATTTGAGTTTGGCATGCGTAGGACAGGTGTTTCGTCGTTTTACTGCTCTGCTGTTGCTGGTGTTGTGTTTGGTGCTGCCTGAAAACACGGGACTGGCTTGCTAGGTTCACGGCGGAGAGACTGTCGCAAGGCCGAAAGATCCTCAAGGCCGGCTTTGCGCCGGAGGCGATGGAGTATGCCAGGAGAGGGGTGGCCGACTCGCTCCGGCCAGCGGTGTGGAGGGCGATACTCGGGCTCCCAAAGGCAAGCAAACAAGTACCGTAGTGCTATATCCACGTTGGGGGACAATCGGCCTGCGAAGGCGAAAAAACGCGCCTACTGTTCAGGTAGCCACCCCTGACCCAACCCATCCCCGATTCCGCCGCAAGCAAGCTGTTGTTCAAGTTCAACACCTGCGCACGGCAACACCCACAAACAAGCTTTGCGTGAAATTGGGCCAGGAGCAGTCATCGCGGCCTGCCCTGAACCCGAGCCTCACGGTAGAGAGTATCGTGGCGCAATGGTTAAAACGTCAATACTCACTTCTGGCTATTTCATTTCTCCGAGCCATTCTTCTACTTGATCCTTGCTCGACTTTACGGCTGGACATTGCTACTATAATAGTGGTTGTTCTTGTAACATGTTCCGGCCCAACAAACGCCGTTAGTGCTGTACCGAACTGCTGTTGCCATCCTTTCTCCTGATGCGACGTGCCACAGCCTGTCTATCATGACTCTGATCAAACGCTCAGGATATGTCCCATTTTTCTCTCTGCTTTCTCGTCGCAACTACTCATCTCGCTGCCGCTGGCGCCTCTGGCACCGCTGGTGCTGCCGCACCGCACCGTCGCAGGCGCTAACCCCGCAAGACTTGGAGTATTTCGCAGGCCTCATGTCGGAGGTGGACCGGACGGAGCTGGTGACCGACGAGCTGTACGGCCTGGACGTGCAGTTCATCAGCGACGACGACAAGTACTTTCCCTTCGAGGTATCTATCTACAACGTTTTTGCACGCGACAGAGCGATGTCGAGCGTTTAAGTGAAGCTTGCAAACGATTGACAGGTCTGTAGAGTACAGAGACTACTGCCAGTTTTGATTTTGTGAATGTTTCGGTGCTTTCATGGGTTGGACGCGTTAGGAGTGAGTCAGCCGACCTAGGATTCGTTTCTTTACGGACAACAGGTTGATTTTGATCAACCGACGACTGCGGGCACCTCAGACTTTGTACAGAGCCGACGCATTTGCTGCTGTGACTTCCACAAGACTATCAAAGGTATCTTCGTCCCTACGCCACGATACCGCAAGGTGCCCCTCCCGTTTCCACTCTCCGCTACCCTACCCGTGGTCATTTTCCTTCCCATCATCCCTCCTGTTCTCCGTGATGCTTACGGTCCCTTTCTGCCCCGGCATGGAACGCATTCCTTTCCTCCAGGAAACCTTGCACGACGTCATCCTGGCGTTCTCAAGGGACCCTTGGGTCCTCCGGCACAGCGAAGCCACCCTTCACGACCTCGTCCCTATCGGGGAAGGAGCGGTGGGGGCTGACGACTGGGCGTTTTTGAGCGGTGCGGGGGCTGGGGGCTACTGTCCCCCGTGCGGTGTGCAGGTGGGCTTTTGTGCTTCTTGGTGCGTGTTTTGCCTTCGGTCTTTGTGAGCATGTTTCCCCGCCAGGTACTGCTGTTGTGCATACCATAGCATTTTAATTCATTTTTAAACACAGCATTGATAAGACCGTCGGGCTTGTTGTGTAATCTGCTTTATTCTAATTCGGCGTTCGTTCGCGTCTCCTCATGAAACGAAAGAAATTCAAATGCACACAACGAGACGGAAGTACTGGGGAAAACTTGTTTTGTTGTTCTCGGGTGGAATCATATTTTACTGTTATTGGCGGTTCCTCTGTATGTTACGTAAGCTTTTCATCACTTGTAGTGGAAGGAGGGAAAAGCATGGAAGAGAGCACTGCGCGTACTTCCCAGAGGGCCGTGAATCACCAGCCCGGAGCCTGAGGGCAGCACCAGTTCCTACCTGCGACATCACATGAATAAACGGCACAGCTGGTACATCTGGACCGCAAGATGTCCATTTCCACATGAAGGAATACAACTCCAACACTAACTTGTCAACGTGATGCCTACACAGCAAGAACATAAGCTGCAACGTTACATGGGTTGGCGTTATTTTGAAGTTCTACGTTCTAGAGTAACGCCATTCCATTCCAGCAGATGTTTGTTCCTGGCAAGAAAACACGGACAATCCATGACAAAAAGAAAAATGAAGAACCCGTGGACCTCCCCCCCCCCC